TTGGTCTGGGAAAGGAGTAGAAGATGTGGGAAGCAGGGATGGGCTGTCTGCTTCTCTCTTGGAGATACAGGCTCTTGGGGGGCGAGTTTGGTCTCTCCCAGGTTGGTGACGAGTGGTTTCTAAATGTTTGGTCTATGCTGGCAAGATCTATGTGAGCTGTAGAGCAGGGTGTGCCTGCACGTACAGAAGGGGAGTGCCTTTTGTTGGGAGACGTCAAAGGCAGCTTGCAGGAGAGGAAGGACGGGAGGGCAAAGTTTTCTGTTTTCCCTCCATGTGTCTCATACCAGAGGCTGGAATTACTGTGCTGAGGGTGTTGCAGATGTACAGCCAAAAAACTGGTGGAGAGTGGTAAATGGGGACATTCCTCCACGTACCAAGGTATCTGGCAATGGGCTGCCTTTGCATGGTTTCAGACAAGAACCCCACCATAATCGAAAGGTTTGGTGAATCCGTGTTAAAACAAGCAGTATTATCGGTATGGAAAACACTTCCTTGTGCAGCCATGGAGAGATCTGCTGAAGACCTCAGTGCTGTTCTGGGAGGACCCGCTGCCATGTGAATCATCCTTCCGATTTATAATTGCAATACTCTGATGTGCACACTTTAATAGGGCATTTCCCCCTGTTACATAGTGTTACCAGCTGCAGAATGGAGAAATCCCGCAGAAGAACTGGCTAAGACGTGGAAATGTTTTCTTCCCCTTTGGAAAAGAGAATTACACCATTCTCAGAGCTGAGATAAATCTGAGTGCTTTTAGCAATAAAAGGGTCAGTTGTGGGGTGGACTACGTGCACATTTTAGGACCAGAGTTATTTAATGTATTAATTATCTGTAAAAAGTGGTGGGCCAGCAGTGAAGTGCTTAAGTGTGCAGATACCACAGACTTGCTTCGGTTAGGCTGCAGAAAAGAGTAAGGATCATTTAAGGGACTTTGATCTAGATTACAGACAACATTATGCCAGATCAGTGCAGTACTGAAAGGCAGTAAACATTGGAAGAGGAAAAACGAACCATTTCTACATAATTCTATGTCCTAAATTAACTGCAGCTCCTCTGGAGAAAGGACTGTGTGTCTCAGAGGATCTCCCAGATAAAACATCTGCTGAAATGCCTCGTGTCACTCCAAAAGCAAACAAAATATTAGGCTCGGGGAAGACTGGAACGCAAAACCATTCTGCAAATAATGTAAAATAAGTTTGGGGAATATCCTCGTGTTTAACTATTTGTAGGTCTGTTCAGCCTGTCTCCAAGCAGTCATGTCAGGAAGAGGAGTTGTAGGGCCAGGCGGTGGAAGTGGATTGAAACATCCATGGGTTGAAACACTGAGAAACCAGAAGCTGCTGCAAACACGGGAGAACAGGGCAGAGAGATAAAAATAGCTTGTGCTAAAAGAAAGGTGATTCAAGCGCTTCTGTCTTCACCTCTAGGCCAATCCATGTGAATATGAAGTGAGAGGTGACAAATTTAAACCTGATGAAGGAAAATCAGGCTTTAAACGACTGAGTTAAGATGCTATTGAAAGCAGAAGGTTGCCTGTGGAACTCCATGCCACAAGATGTGATTGAAGTCAAGATCTCACCTTGTCTTAAAAAATTGACGTGTTTATGTTAAGAAAGAGAGGAGTTCCACGTGTTAGGTAAAGGTCTATGTGCAGAAGGATCTATGCATCCATAACTGAGCATACAGAACAATTTCCACCCAATAGAGGTTTGGAAGGCATTTTATCAGTGGACGAGTTGTTTCATTACAGAACTCGTAGCATCCTTCACCAAAACACTTGGTGTTGGCCATTAGCAGAGAGTGCCAGCAGGCAGGCAGGCCATTGCTCCTCCTGAGGTGACTCCAGCTCTCTCCTACACATGGCAAACAGGAGGTGTCTGCTAGCTGAAAATCGGGAAACCTGTGTGGTGTCCTATACCTGTTGTTCTTTTGGTGTCTTAATGACTGCTTAATTAAGTTAATGAGGTCTTTTTGTCTTAGGGCCATTCCCTCTCCATGGAAAAATTGCAGTCACGATGCAAAGGCAGGGCTGAGAGAAAGCCGCAGCGAATGCTGGCTGTGGTGTACATAGGGCACCGTATTGCTTCAATCTGGCCCCACTCTCGCAGGGATTCTCATCGCTGTTCCAAAATTATCATCTGTTTGGGGCTGAACGGGCAAAGATTGCAACTAATGTTTAGGCTTGATTGAGTAACGCAAATACAAGTTTTCAAGGTAAAATAAAATAAAACTATCTCACCGACTCCCCTCCCTACAACAATAGGTCTGGTTTAATATAATGAATGACATTCCATTTAGTTGCCTTTTATTTGTCTAAGTGGTAAGGATGCTGGTTTTGTGCTTTCCTTCCCAACAGTGGAGGTGTAAAACTTCTTTTGTGTGTGAAAAAGAAATTCTCTAAGAAGTGCTGCACTCCAGAAGCCGGAGCTTTAAGGAAAACCTACTGGACAGCCAAAGACTCACGAGAAAAAAATTAGAAATTTTGGAATCTCAAATTCCAGGTCATCCCTTCTTGCAGGGGTCTGGAAGTGTTGGCAGCGTAAGTGTGGGGAGAGAGGGGAGGACGCGTGTGCTGCATATGACAGCAGTGCAAGCGATTTTTATGAACAGGGAGGTTTCTACACGATATCGCGTTGGGAATATCCCACCGATAGTCCACCCCTCCGCTCCTTCCACTTGAGCTGGTGGGAGGGATTTGAAGTTCAGGCAATGCGTGGCTGAGCTCTCATTAGTGACCAGGGACATTTCGTTCACAAAGTGGAAGGCAGACAGGGAGAGGCAGATGGCTTTGAATGCAGGATTTACATAGTAATGAGATTCAGGTCACCATAGCTGTCTTTTTCTCTCTGCATTTTGTCTAGGTGTCGAGTAGTGTGCAGGGATGACGGAATGGGGGGGGAAAGGGGGAAAATTAACTCCTTGTTCCTAAGGAGAGATTGGTGTTAGAATAAAAAGTTTGTCACAATAGGCTAAAGAACAGTGGGGTATGAGAACAGTAAGCACAGATGAAGCTAGAAGGGCTAAGGGTAGCCACTTTTTAAGTTTCTGGCATGTTTTCTTTGGGAATGGCACAAAGCATCCTAGCCTTAAAATCCCAGAATATCCCGTAATTTCTACATTCTGCGTTGCTGGTTTGAGAACAGATAGGTTTAGGCTTTTATCATTACCAGTCAGCCCAAAATTGGGGAAGTTTGTGGACTGAAGATGGGGCATGGATTCTTGCTACAGGGCCTTTGCTTGTTTCCTTGGAAAAAATTACCCATTTTGCTTGGTTTCTTGGCTAAAGACTTGTCTTCACATGACTGTGTAATGGCATGATTAAAATATAATATTTTCCACTGCAGTTGGTAATCCTTCGTATGATCTCACTAGTGTCAGATCTTATCCTGATGACAGATGGGAAACTGGGAACCATGGGCCCTATTTCCAGCTCTGGATGGGGCACTTGATTTGTTCAATAGTCAACCCCAGGCATTCCTAAAATATGCATCATGGCCTGAGAAATCCCAAGGCTATTTTAAAATTATGAAAGTTTTAAAAGCAATGCATGTTTCTTTCTTCTGCCTTTTTTTTTTTTTGCCCCCCCTTTTTTTTTTATAGTTAGAGGAGTATGGGAAAGTAAGTTTTTCTTTCTGTTGTACGTCACATGACTCCAGAAGCTGGGGCTTTAGAAGAAAGTGTTGCAAGATTTGCAGGAAGAGCAGGAGAGAAGCCTTAGGTGATCCCTGTGTAAAATAGGAACTATGGCACTCAACTGCATGTGGAAGTCTGGGCTGAGGTAGGGAAGGTAAGGAAGGTGTTTGTGTATGGAGGTGGGTTTTGTATAAGGTTTTCAGTATTTGTAAGATACTTTTGATTCTTCCACATAGAAGGTGCTTTTGAAATGCAAAACATTTGGGGTGCTAAGGGGAGGATTCATCTTGTCTCACCGTGGCCACTGGTGTTTAGGGAGCTTGTCTAGCCTCAGCAAAGAAAGATTCAAATCATCCCAAGACAGTGGGACAAATCCCCCCCGGGGGAGGGGGGTGTCTCTCCATTGACTGCACGGTCTTCACGGTACCTAGCTAAGATTTGACATCAGCTTCTACCTGGCTGAAAGGTGAAATGACCCTCACCTTAAGGTCCTGTGGAAGTCTGAGCTGAGACTGGTCTTGCTTATTTGGGCGTCTCCTCCATGCCCCAGCTGGGGATGCTCCTGGAGAGCTGAAGCAAAGCTTTTACCTTGTCATCTCCTTCCTCAGCAGGGCTAACACCGAAACTCACTGAGCAGAGCTGCCTCAGTGGGCATCTCCTGAAGCCAGCAGTAAATGCATAGCGGGAGTGCCGCCGCATTTTGGCTGTTCGGGCTGGAAGGGAAGAGGAAATCTAATCAGGCGCCTAGGACAGACTGGGAAGTGAAGGCTTCTTGGCTACTTCCTCCTGAGGAAAAGGCTTAGGTCTAATAGATCTAATTACGTTATTTCTGTGTTTTATGGTTACATCCATTTGTTTAAAAAGTCAGTAATCCTTTTATACCAGTCCTGTAATGATTATTTAATGTCTGGCTGTTTGTGAAGCTCGACGAGCTGTGTGAACGGAGGATGCTTCACCACAGGGAGTCCACACGGTTCCTCCATAGGACAGCAAGCTGGGCCCGAGAGCCTTGAGTGGGGGCCTTAATTGGGTGGCCTTGAACACACAAGGTTCATTTTGTGCTCCATTTTCCTACCTGCCGAATGAAAAGAATGGTAGTTCTCTCCTTTGCAAACTGCTGCGAAACGTAGGACTGTCTCTTGGTGAAATGCTGCCAGAGAACTCTTCTGCAAGGATAAATATTCACCAACTCATGCTTGGTTAGCAGACACTTTGCTGGTGGCCAGTGGGGCCCTCAGCTCTGTCGGAGCAATGACACTTGTTGGCAGCAGGCAGCTTTGTGAGCGTCACGCTCTGCGCGGGCCTCCCTACGCCAGCCGAGTGGATCTGCTCCTCTTGCTGATGTTTTCTAACCTCTTCCTTTGCAGAGCCCCTGAAATCATCCTCGGTTTACCGTTTTGTGAAGCAATCGATATGTGGTCGTTGGGATGTGTCATTGCAGAGCTGTTCTTGGGCTGGCCGTTGTACCCGGGAGCTTCAGAGTACGATCAGGTAGGTACGGATGTTGCCCTGGGTGCTGGTAAGAGCACGGATGTTCATGGGTTGGAGTTTTTTTCTCTTCTCTTGTCAGAGTGAACAGATGCCAACTTTTTCTGTTTTGCTAATAGGGGATATGTGATTCTTACCCCCCCCAAGTCAACTTTTTCATTATTCACCTGGGGTATTTATAGTAGGTAACCAGTGTGCTGTTTGGTATGCTGGCTTTTAAGACCCGACTGCCTAAGTGAAATCTCAATCAAGACTCAACGCTGCCATTGACTGGAGAGCTCTGTACATGTCTCTCCTCACTGAGCAGAGCAGGCACCCTTTCTCTGCTGTAACAGCAACTGTTGAATAAAGGTTTATTTGTTAGAAGAAACTGCACGAACTCTGCTGCATTCATAACCCCTTTTATGAGGGTGCATATTAAAAGCAATGACAAGAAGGAGAACATTCACAGTAGTGTAGGTTTCTAGTTAATATAAGCTGTCGTACTTCTCTCCCTATAGGCTTTTACACTCCTTTTGTAGTCCTAAAACTGATAGTGCAGCAGCTGCTAGATCCAGGGCTGCAGAACACTTTCCATTCCCATAGTCTTCTTCAGGGTGATCTTAGCTGTCTGCAAATGCGGCCTGAAAAGGGTCTTTTTTCTTTTAGAAAATCTAAAAAAAAAAAAAAAAGAGCAGGGTAATAAGTAAGTTTTTCATATATGAAAATGTTTCTTTGACTCTTCTTTTGTAACTAGTATTTTTTTAGTCAGAGCTTTAAAGGTGAAATTTGGCAGGGGAAATAATCTGCAGTGAAGAGCAGGGCCATTAGTGACTCCAAAGGAAATCAGACATAGCTGAAAAACTTACAAGCATTTGAAAATCACGTACCAAGCATGAAGAGTAGATTTCTTTCTCCTCCCTGCTGCACCCCAAAAGCCATAAAACACACAGGTTAACTGCCCAGCACAAAGCTTCCTCTGGTGAAGTACGGTGAGGGCTCCTGGGGAGCTGGGAAAGGGGTAGGAGCTGATCCTGGCCCCTCGCTGTAGCCCGAGTCGCCCTGCAGTGCTGGCGCTGGGCTGCAAGGCAGGATCCTGGTGCTTCTCAGGTACATGAGCTCTGGTGGACCTAAGGAGCTGCAGAGCCAAGTAAACCATGCTCAGTGAACCAGGTCCTGAGTGCTTGGAAGTCTTTGAAACCACGGTTGCTTTTTATGCCTTTATTTATTTAATTTTTTTTACTCCTCTCTGTCTCTTCTCTCGAAAGCGCTTTCCATTCTTCCCTAGAATTTTCTAGAGTAGATGACTATTTTTAGTAGTTTTGCAGAGTTTGCAGCAATTGTGCAAAGTGAAACATTCAAGAGTCAGGAGATGCCAAAGTTAAGGTTTCGTGTGGCACCCCAGGCGTGAGTGAGATTGGTCTTTAGTTGTGTAATCGCAAACCCTTTCTCTGAATAAATAAAGTCTGAGATCCTGGAAACACATGTGTAGCATCTTTTAGCTGTGTGAGTGCCAGCGAGGTCATACTCATGGAAGTAACCCAAATAACAAATGAAGTCATGTAGGCAATAGAGATGAAGTACTTTACATACCATGAGGGTGTCAGTTCATTTGAGTGTATATTTCATCTAAGTTCAAAGATAGTCACTTCATAGTCCTCCGTTTTGAACTTCAAACTTCTCCTAGGAAAGGCTGTGCACTCAGCTGGGGGTAAAAACAGCAAAAGTTAAAGCGCAAATATCAAATTGTTGAAATTGCCTCCTGGAGAGGAGAGCGTGACATAAAAAAGTGCAAAGCAGTGAAACACCCCATTGAAATCTCTGTGTGGGTCATCTTCTTTGACCTCTAAAACCTAGGTACTTTCCTCCCTTTATCCGTAGGCTTTGTGGGAATGTACCATAAGGGTGAGCTTCCAGTGATGTACGTGATAAATGGAGGGATGCCGTAGGGGAATTCTCTTTCCTCTCATTCCTTGCACTGGGGGTTTTTTTGGTGAAGTCTAACTATGTGCTACGTTTTCTCTTTCTTTCTTTGTTCTATTGTTTTAAATGCCTCCTGCCCTCCTTCAAGGAATACCTCCAGAGATCTTCACAGGATGAACAGTGACCTCTCATCCTTCTCTTACAGATTCGCTATATTTCACAGACGCAGGGCTTACCAGCAGAGTATTTGTTAAGTGCAGGGACAAAGACTACGAGGTTTTTCAACAGGGATACAGACTCACCGTATCCTTTGTGGAGGCTGAAGGTAGGAAGATGTTCCCTTGTTTCTTTTACCTTGCAGTTGTTGGTTGGAAGTGAGGAGACATTCAGGTCACCTCAGAGCCTAGGTCTCTGCTTTTTGCAATGCAGCACAGACATTGGGGTGGGTATAGCCTGAGGTAGAACCGCCATCCCCGAAGTCTGCAGCCCTTAGCCCACCTGCTTGGCACTGCTTTGTGGGAAATTTAAGTCCAGAATTGACCTGAAAATCTCCCTCTAAGTAGTCAATGAATTGATGTGTAGTTTCTATAAAACAGATAGGGGCAGATTTTGCTCTAATATCTAACACATTGGCGCAGGGGGGCGGGGGGAAGAAAGCATTTTAATTCTGACAATCAAAGCCTCTAGTAATGCAAGTGAGCCCTGAGTCTCTTGTACCAGTGTGTTTGGCTGCATTCAGTCCCAAGTAGAGATGTCAGTGGACTTCTGGCTGTAAGGATGGGATGCTGAGCCTCACGCTGGGGTGGGTGTAAGAGTCCTTTGGGACTCCCACCATAGTTGGGAGGATCCTCTGAAGTGAAAAAGAAGAGATCAATCACTTTGTGACACACAAGCTGTCATAACCATGGCAGAGATAGCGTAAATGTTATCTGGTCAGGCAAGAGAGACACAGTGGTCTCTGATGAGGGCAGGATAAGGCACAAGCTGGAAGTGGCACATAACCTGCAGCTGATTGCAGAGCAGTTCTGGTCAATGCCTGTCTCCTGTTTTGAGCAGACGCCAGATGATCATGAGGCAGAGACGGGGATTAAGTCGAAGGAAGCAAGAAAGTATATTTTCAACTGTTTGGATGATATGGCACAGGTAAGAGCATTGGTGAGTAACCAGCAAGACTGCCTCACGTGCTTTTGGGCAATGCTAACAAAGGGGAACTACATGATTTCTCTGTGTATCCTATTCTTGTGCCAGGTCCTGAGAAATACCAGGAGTATGCCTACCAGATCAGCTCATTATGTGCTGCTTTGTAGGGGAAACTGCACATAGGGGCACGTGGGCTCAATGTGCTGTAGTAAAGCAGCCTTGGAAAATGGCTAAGTCACACCTCTGAGTGTCGAAATCCCACGTTTTCTCTTGTCTCTCCAGTGCTCCTCTGTGTGACCACTGGCAAGCCACTTACTTCTCTGTGCTTTAGTATTTCCATTTGTAAAACGGTGACATTGGAAATAATCACCAAGGCCGCAGAAGAGCGTGCTGTCTGTAAAACGTGGCTATCTGGGGGAACGGGGAGTACTTACTCACTGTGTCAATTCCATGTGATTGTGGAAGTTCATTCCAGCATAACCACTCCCGCGACTGGAGTTTGTGCTAGCAAACAAACTAATGCACAGAACTGGCACAACACTAGCACAAAACTGGAGTTTATGCTAGCAAAGTCTGGACATTGTAGCATTCACGAGCAAACATACAGAAATGGAGGACTGAGATCAGGGGAGACTGTATAAATGGATGAAATAACGATGGGGTTTTTTTTCCTGGCACCTGATACATGAATGGGATGTTTCTCATAAACCTACTGACAATTTTTATTTATTTTATGTATTTTTTGCTCACAGGACACATAGTTAAGTATCTGATAGCACAGTCCTTTTTATGATAAATATACTGATTATCAGGACTTGCCTGCTACCACATGGAAGCTGTTCATCTTCAGTGGAGGGTGACTAAGTGTTTCATTAGCCATTGACCCAAGCGAGCTGAACACTTAACAGTCTGTCTGGGGATCTGACATGCACAAGCCAGATGACTAGCCACCGCAGAGTCTGCCGTGTGACTTCAGCAACTACCCCTTTCGACAGGGAGGCTTGCAGGGCATGTGTTCCAACGAGGAGTAAACACAGTTTGCTGGAGACCTGACCATCTGCTCTTCCCCTTTAGCACTCACCCTTGTCCTTTCTCCTTTAGGTGAACATGACAACGGATTTGGAAGGAAGTGATATGTTGGTGGAAAAGGCGGACCGGCGGGAGTTTATAGATCTGTTAAAGAAGATGTTGACGATAGATGCAGATAAGAGAATAACACCCATTGAAACTCTGAACCACCCTTTTGTCACCATGACACACTTGCTCGATTTCCCTCACAGCACACAGTATGTGGCTTTCATTTCCCTTGGGTTTTGATTTGAGGGGTGAAGAGGAGAGTGGGTTGTGGTAGAGACCAAATGTGTCTGAGGGGCATTATTAAGATGCTTAAGCCTTAAGTTTTAATCTTTTTCTGGTTAAAAAAAGAGGATTGCCAACTCTTAAGGTTGCAAGAATTGTGTTGTAGGTGCTTGGCATTTAAAACACTGCAGAGTGTGCTACATTCATTATGTAAATATTCAATAATTACATATGTTTGCATTAAAATGCAGAAGAAATTATGCAATTAGTGCTGAAAGTATCGGTATATCTCAAAGTAACATAGTCCTGATTGTTACTGCAGTAATCAACCTTATCTGCAGTGGGAAGCCAACCCTTCCTCCCAGAACCCTCCCATCTTGGAGGTGGCAATTTGGGGCTATTTGCTTTTTAAGGGAAGAGATTTTTCTGCAGCAGGCTGGTTTACAGGCACAGGCAACAGGACAAGCAGTTCAGTTTTCAGCTTTGTTGTTGCCTGCCTATGTAACCTTAAACACCACGCTCTGACCTCAGCTGACACATTTGTGGAGTGGAGATGGACTCCACTGCCCGATGGAGATGTGAAGAAGTGTCATGCCTTCAAGCCTGACTCCCCTTTCTCCTAAGGCTGTGTCATGGAGCGCAGCAGCCTGAAACGCAGGAAACCTGCGCCCAGCACATTGCTCTTGTCCCCTGGGCCCCTTCACGTAGAGCCAGGCTTCTCAGGTGCAAGTGAAGGCAGACACGTAGTGGGAGTTTTCCAAAGCCTTCAGGACACCTAGCTTTGAACATCCTGCTCTGCAGCACTTCGCAGTTCTAGGTGCTTTTGCAGGCTGTCCCTTCACCTCATCGGGAGAACAGAGTTACCAGCACAGCACTGTACTTCATTGGGTGCCGTGTTCATGGGTGTCTAAAGGCTGTGAGGAGCTCAGGTACAAAAATAAAGGGGACTGCTTAAAAAGCCATAGAGTATGTTTGTGTGGGTGCTGCAGAGCAACAGGTTACTGTGTCACCTCTCCTGCCCGTATGTGTGCTCTTACTTGCGGTATTTCAAGTTCATTTAAGGTAGTTTTCCCTCTGTGAAGGAGCTGTAGCTGCCTTTTCGTTACATTTATCACAAGATAAGAGCAGCTGCTTACCAGAAGGTAGTGGGTGCACGATCTGTGTAGACCCAGACTTACCCTGCACAGACATCTTTGAGCATTGTTATCTATAAGTAAACAGTAAGTGATAAACGTAATGAAAACAAGATGGGAGATTGTTGTGCTAAACAGCGAGAAAGTAACTTTCATATAAAAACGTTCATGAATAAAGAAAGTGATAGCATTTTCTGACAGTATTAGCATCATATACTGAAGTCTTTTAATTTGCAGCAGTCCTTCTTACTGTGCAACAACCAATTGTGTAAGATAGGAGAGATTTGCGGCATAATGTATTGCCATCAGAAATCTTTCTGCTAACGCAACAGACCATAATCGCATCTTCATTTTTGAAGTGCTCACTTGTGGCTGCTCAGGCAAAGCCCCAGAAAGGTTGAAAATATCCTCGGGGCCAATAGCAGTGAGAATTTTACCTGAATAAAAAAATTCAGCATCAGGTCTCTGAATGCTAAATGCTGTGCCAGCCGGGTGTGTAACCCCATGCAGCCCCTCCACACTGGAAGCGGTGATTGGTAAAAAGAGCAATAAGCTGTAACCAGCATGGCAGGCTGATGAAAATTTTTGTCTGTGATTGCCTGTGGTTTTGAGAATAGAAACTTCAAAGCCTCGAGAGATGCAGGGAGTTGTAATCTCCCTTGAAAGTAAATCAGGCCACAGAGAAAGTGAAAATATATGGAAGGTGTAGCTTCTGGAAGGAATCTCTGCTGTGGCATGCTACAGAGAGGCTGCAAGTTTGAGCAGCCTGAGAGGGGCTGTTCTGCTTACTTCCAAGCAAACAGCAAAGCAAGTTTTGCTCCGTTTCACGTATTTAACTGCCCGGCTCTGAAATTGTTAGGTACTCCTCAGTCTTTCTGTTCTGTTTTGCTCTGTCCCTGCCTTCTTTTTTTTCCTTTTTTTTAAAGTAAAGACAGAGAACACAGTATTACATTAGTAGAGATTATACCTCGTTTTATAAAACTGTTTGGTAACACACAGAGTTTACCATGTACAGAATATATACTCTTTCCAGTGCTTTCTGCTTTTTGGAGGGAGAATTATATTCATACCTGACTGGAAAAAGGCAATCCCAATAGTCTTCTATATTAACTTGATAAACGTGTTTGATTTTTCTGAATGTTCTGCGACTTACAGGTATTTCACAGTTTTTAAATGAATGCACATAATGCGCAGCTATGCACAGTGTCCTGAGCCTGTCTTGTCTGCAGGTGTTTATGGCACAGATCCAGTTATCAAGATATTACCTGTAAGAGAAGAAAGATGATCATGTGAGTAAGAGACAAGACAGGGATAAAAAGATCTAGGTCCTCTTCCTGACCAAGCCTAGGGATCATATGAGCTTGTTTCTTTTGAAGGGACATTTTGTTTCTTAAAAATTATGTGATTATGTGTTTACTTCCCCTACCTCTAACAGCTTAGATCATTACAAAATGAATTATGCATACAGCTGATTTTTTACAGCTACAGCTGTTTTTCACTGCTTAGATTTTCTGTTTTTCTGGGTTGGGATAATGGAAATAAAATAAATGCCTTCATACTTTTTTGAGTTGTGTTTCAGACTCTGAGGTCACATTTGTAAAAACAATTATTGTGAAGAATTGTGGAAAACCTGTATTGGTTTTTAGACCTTCAAAACCAAGATTTTATTAAAAATACAGTTTTGCCCAAGATCGCTATGTTGTTACCTTTTAAACCTCTGTATGCTTTGGTATGCCAATTATAAAAACGAAATACTGGCAGTTTCATGTACCAGACACCTAGAGTGCTCTAGCAATGCAGAGAGTATTTCATCTCCTTTTACTGGGGATACAAAATACGATACTTCTCAAAATTTCCATTGCTATATCAATAACATTTAAAGGAAAGTCTGTGTAGAGGAAGTCTGTGTAATCTTTCCCCCCAGAGATCCAATTCGCAGTCTGAGATAACCTTAGAACCTGATTCCCTTGGGGCGTTGATGAATCTGATTCGGCATAACCTTTTGCGATATGAATCGTCCCATTGACTGCAAGAGGACAGCTCGTGTGCTTTAAGATAAGCATCTGCAGAAGTGTTTAGCCAGACAGGGGCGATGTTTTAACTGCTTGGCTGGACTCAGCTCCCAGTGACCTACTTTTTAAAAGGAACAAGTAAGATTTTTCAGGGGTCTCAGTGACCAAGAATAGTAAAATTCTTTCTTGCAGAAGACTTGTAAAACTACCTTTAGGCTTACACTAAGGCAGAAAGCATGACTTGGCTTTTCCTCTCAGGCTCAATCATCAGAAAAAAACAGTATCTATCTTTCTTTGTTGCTCTCAGTCTCTTTCACTCTTTTAAAATAGCCACTTCATATTTCTTGCCCTGCCACCTAAAGAGCAACCAATTTGCTTGCTTTTTGTGGCTTACATCGCAGCGCTCAGACCCATGGGGACACCCAAGAGTCCCAGAACAGCCGCTCTCATCTTGACACCCATTTGGCCTTCTTCAGTACAGGGTTGATCTGACTCTCACTGGTTAAGAGAGACCTGCATAAAATATCAAAGGGCTTTACGAGCCTGGAAAGTGCCAAGCCTGCCGTTGAGACCTAATGCAGGGCCACTGTGATGAACTGTTACCTGTGTTGGTCGGTTGGTTGATTTTCTGTCTCTTCCTTGTCCCCCCTTTCCTTACAGTGTCAAGTCCTGCTTCCAGAACATGGAGATTTGCAAGCGGCGGGTGAATATGTATGACACAGTGAACCAGAGCAAGACGCCATTCATCACCCATGTGGCCCCGAGCACATCGACCAACTTGACCATGACTTTTAACAACCAGCTGAACACAGTCCACAACCAGGTAAGGGCATTGATCAGAAGCAGCCACTGCTTGAAATGTTTACGTCAGTATGGTCTAGAAGATGAGAAGCAAAGTAGCATCCCATTTAACATGCCTGCAAAAAGATGGTACTTTTTTTGCTCTTCCTCATTCTCTTTCCTTCAGGCAAGTGGTAATCTTGTGACATTTTGTGCAACGGTGAAATGTTGCCCTTATTGTTCATGTTGTTGTTGGGGGTGATAAATCCTGCTTACTTGGGAAGTTGCTATGGGGAAAAGCTCATTAGTCCCTTAATGCAGCAAGCAGGACTGCGCTGCCTGGGTCACGCAGAAGTATTTGTGATCTTACAGCACTTCTTCGAATGGAAGTTAAAAGAATTTAAACCCTTCTATAACAGACACAGCACTGTAACCCATCAACAGGAAGGAAGAGTTTAGTGGTAATGTTTATTCTTCTCTCTCATTGGTTTTACTCCAGGTGCCACAGTTGATGTGGGGACCCTGTGCTCGTACCCCCACTCCGAACACATTGCACTCTACATTGGTGGGCTCTGGCTTCGTAATCATGCTTTGGACTCTTGTATTAGTTTTACATGCCCCAGTGTTGGGGGGTGCTGGGATGACAAATTTTATGTGACTAGCAGGCTAAGTTGTTTACTGCGGTACTGTATTACAACAGTGAAAGGAAACTCTCCAGGGACAGCACTGTAGGAGACTGAAGCTCAAGAAATAGCTACCGTCTTTTAAGCCTGTTGGGAACAGGCTGCTCAAGATTCACTCTAGAGATTGCAGGTGGCGTTGCAGAAATGGTGCTTGGAAAGCAAGGGAGCTAAAGGAGTCTGTGTAGACGTACAGGGTGTTCCTGTAGCACTCAGAAAACCAGACTTCATGACTCAGTTCTCGATACATGTGATCACAGAAGGTCTTTTGGAACAATTCATTAAGCAGATGCAGACAGAGATAGGTCATGGCTTGGTGCGATAGGGTATTAGTTACAAACACTGGTTCCCTTTCTTGGCTGTTTCTGAGATGCTGACTAAAGAAACATGCTACATGCTCCCCTAGGCTGCAGCTGCAGGGCAGAGAGACCATTTGTACCACAGTCGCTAGTAGGAAATGCAGACTTGCTTTCGTTTCCTCACAACTCACTTGATGTTAAGATTGGTTGTTGGCTGGGAAGGTCTGTGGTAATCTCTGAATTCTCATAAGGGGTGTGTGTTGTGAGCAGAACCGGTATCTCCAGTGTTCCTAGAATAAGTGGTAGAAACATTTCCAGGAAGGGTGTTTTAATTTGAACAAGCTCTAAACCTTTCACTGTTCTCTTCAACATACTGCTCATCTTGGCTCTCTGGTGCTCCCTATCTCTGCAAAATACCTGGGGATGCCTCCTTCCCATTATGACTCCTGAGATTAGGAGTGTGGGAGCTGTCGTGGTTGCTGCTTGGTCTGTTGCACAGGGGAACAGATTGCACTTCTCTGCCTCTGCACAGAGAGGGGGGAGGAGGAGGAGGAAGAAATTTTTTGCCGTCGCATCCCTTGTAGCTCTGGTTGTGGCTGTGGCAGTGCAGCATGGGTACCCTTCCCGGGCTCGGTGGCAACCAGGGTAGTGCAAAACGCTGAGCCTGCTGCCTCCTGCAGCCTTGATCAAAGCCTCATCCTCGGTTCATTTGTTCACCATGAGAAAGTGTTGTCTCGCCTATCTCCAGCAGTGATGCTGGTGCGTTTGGATGGAGGGGAAAGGTGGGCTCTGGTCTGGTGAAGTCTAGTCGCCTAGACATGAATGCTAAGGGCATATTTTTATAGAGCAGCGGCAGAGCTGTTTAGGAGTTGTTTATCAGCAACTGTTACAGACTCAGTCCAAATAAAAAACAAATCACCCTAAGATTTCTAGGTGTTCTGCAGAACACGGGGCTGATTTTTGTGCCTTTGCAACATCCCATGCTGGAGTTTCTGCTCTGAGAGATTTTAAAGTCAAGCCAAGCGAAGTTTGGACTTCTTTGAAAATACTATTATTACCTACTGTTATGCCTTCTGATTCCTTCAAATACAAAACATAATTCAAGGGGCATGTGCCATCTTAGATAAAAGGTAGAAGAAAGGCAGGAATGAGTCTCCCCTCTCAGGATGAGGCTTCACAGGGCATGGAGGTGCTGAGTTTCTTTTACCTAAGAAATGTGATCTTCTAGAGCTACGATGAAAGGACAACATGATTTGGGGATAGTAGCATTTTCTGAACCCATCTTCTGTGTGCTGCAAATCAGAGCCAGTTGGGCAATAAATGGGGCTACAGTTCTGCTTTGGAGAACGTGCTATGTGTCTGAGCAGTACACAGCAGCGCTGCATGGTCAGAGGTCCCATGGCATGGTACAGCTGCGGTTACTCAGGCAGATTGTGCTCCTTTCCCCGTCGCTGCCCTTGCCTCTGTGCTCCTCAGTGTCCTGTTCTACCCCTTGTTTTGTTTTGGTTTGCTGGTTTTTTGCTTTTTTTTTTACTTTATCTTACACTATTTTACTTTTTTATTTTATTTTTGGATTTTGCTTCTTCCAACGTACCCATCTCCCTCATTTTTTGTTTGTTTTTGTTTAATTCCCGTCATTCCTTTAGACCACCAACCTGGCTCCCACCTCCTCCAGTGCCACTATTTCCTTAGCCAACCCCGAGGTCTCCATACTAAATTACCAATCTGCACTCTACCAGCCTTCAGCGGCGTCCATGGCTGCGGTGGCCCAGCGGAGCATGCCCCTGCAGACAGGAACAGCGCAGATCTGTGCCCGGCCCGACCCCTTCCAACAAGCTCTCATCGTCTGCCCACCAGGCTTCCAAGGTAAGTAACAGCCTCACCAAGTCTTGGCCAGTTGCTGCTCCTTCCCCGCTGCTGTTTCATCTAGCTCTTGGCGGAAACAAGCTTCCTTAGTGCAGATCATATTTACAGGCCAGCAATTTTTCTACTATAAGAGCAATGAGGTTGTTGCAGATGGAAATGTTTGCAGCAGTGGAGGATCTTGCAGGCACCTCCAACATCATGGGTTGGAGGTGGCTGGTCTAAAACAATGGGGCAGGCACTGAGAAGGGGTTGGGGGAGAATGTGTGGTATTTGTCATCGTTTGCCCTGAACAGAGTTTAAGGCTTTTCTGCCTCACTTTGGTAAACTTGAAAACTTGCCCCTGCAACAACGATAAATCAGTACATAAATAACGGGTTCATCACTTCTCAGTGATCCAGTTGTTAAAGGGGGGACTCAGGAGGTTAATGCAGCAGGGAGTGTGGTGCTGGTGGAGATGAGGGTTTGCCCCTATAACAGATGCTCATGACCATTTATCAGTACAATTCCTTTAGCTCCAGCCCTGCTGCAAACAGCTCTGCCTGTGTATACCAGTGGCAGGCACCACTGTCAGACAACTTGGGTGATGATCAGATTTAGCCACTGGTCCTTCTCTTGACTTTACATGCTGTAGCAATTTGGACAAACTAGCCAGATATCTGTAGGAAGTGGTCTAAACAGACCTTGGTTCAGCTGGTGCAACTTCTGCTCTTAATTTCTACAAGCCTGTCTGTGCAGCAGTCTCTAGGCACTTGTTAAATGTTCTGCAAGATTATCAAAGCTCTTTTGAACTATGGGAGTTTAGCTAGACCTCTTCTACATAGTTAAAATGCATCTCAGGGGTTTGACTTCAGAAATGTATTGCTAGAATATGTAAGCTAACATCTTCCGCTTGCTGTCTTGAGAAAGCTCTAAACCAGAGGAGGTAACACAGGCTGCGTCACGCACTAAGGTGGTGGAGAGGGAAGTTTCCTGCAGCTCAGTTAGGCTAATGCATAGCTGAGTCAGCAATGGTTGCAGTTTGGGGTGTGCTAGATTACACGGTCAAATCAGAGCCCTTTAAATATGAGTCCTGAGAAGCTGTGTAAGAGAAAAACACCTATTCCCGTCAAGGCTGAGTGAGTGCACTGTTCTGGATTCCCATCCCACTGTCCCACTTGGGTCACAAGAGAGCATTCTCACATAGCAATGGGTTTTGGCTGGCAAGGACCATTTTCTGTTGTCAAACCAGAGAACATGGGGGAAGAGAAGCCATTCCCTCCCCTCTCTTCCTTTTCTCCTTGTACACATTGTATTGAGGTGTTTCCCACAGATTTGAGGTAGCCTAAAAATATGAACTCAGTTAATCCCTTAACATCTTTGAAAATGCCTTTTCTGCACCCTTATGCATGTATCATGTTTATCAACATTTGATGGACATTTTTGGGCTGGGGTGGAATATGTGGGGCTCCAAGAGCCCGATTTTTTGGAGGGACTGAACACTGCAATTTAAGTGGACATCAGTGAGTGCCCTTAGGCACCTCTGAAAACCAGACCCCTGTTCCTAGCAATGCTGTTCATGGCTAATGCTGTACCTTCTGTACTGGTGGAACAGGGTTACAAGCCTCCCCTTCGAAGCATGCTGGGTATTCAGTTCGGATGGAGAATGCCGTTCCCATTGTCACTCAGGCTCCTGGGGCCCAACCTCTTCAGATCCAGCCAGGACTCCTCGCACAGGTAAGGAGCTCTGAAGACACTGAGCTCGGCGGGTATTTTTTGTGTTGTTTAGCTCTTGGAGGCTGAGGGAGAGTAACTTTCTCAGAGGGCCTTCTGTTGGTGCAGTTCAGAGCCTTGGCCAGTCATATAAGCGTCTCCAGCTTTCTTTGAAATGTCCAAACCTCCCCCAGTTCATTGTTCAGCTCAAAGGCTATGCCAGAGTTGCAAAAGTCTCTGGAAAGACCTTCTTTCCTTTTGCTTCTCCACTGGAATCCATGGGAAGCCTCAGGGGAAGCTGTGTCAGGCCTCTGCTGAGGAGGAACCGGTAATAACCTTCCTGCATACTGAACTCGCGGTCTCAGTGGTAGTTTGTGGCCAGGAGCTGTGCTGGTGAATTGTGTGCTGCTGATAAATATCTTTCATGCTTTTAAGTTTTCACCCTTCTGTTTTATGAGCTGCCCCTCTGCTCTTAAGTTATGAGAGAGATGTGGGGGGCAGAGGCAAGGGCCCCACAGCCAAGGAGCTCTCCTTGTCAGCAGCACTTGTCGGCACAATTGTCCGAAATGCCCTCACAGGAAAAGCATGGTTCCTCCCAGGAAAAAAAACAAACAGGAATGGGTACCACCAATCACATGCATATCCTGAAGGGGAACCCGAGCTCCTCAAAAAGGAGGAGCAGTTCATTCCTCCTTGGGCTGGCTTCGGTGAATCTGCCCCTACTGGTTTTCAGCTGGTGCCATGGTACCTCTGCCAATATCAAGCATGTTTCTGGCAGCAAAAAAAAAAGTGCCTAGTATCCTTGTGCAGCCTGGGAAAAGATGACCTACAAGTTAAAAATGCATGCCTCTGACTCAGGATTGGTTGATCTGCCATGCTTTCATTAATGCCAGCGCGTTCATACGCAGTCAAGTACCAGCAGACTTCAGGGTTATGCCTGTGCATTGCATTGCCAGGGTAAGACTTGGTGCAATTGCCTTTCTTTGCCAGCTGCCAGTCGTGCTTATCTGGTGAAGACGGATCAAAACACAACTTGCAGCCTGTGTGATTTCCATTAGCTAATGTGCCCTGCCCCTTCCCAATAGCAGAGTCTTTGTTAGAGGGCTCTCTGAAACATTGAACCTATCTCTGTTGCAACCTGTCGTAACAACCTACGTGGGCCAGGTCTCTTGTTCGGTAGGAAAGGAGAGCCTAAGAGGCAGGGGAAACAAAAACAATGGCAAAGCGAGAAGCAGTCTGTGCAGGCACAGTTGCAGGCACCTATTGCTTGTGCAAGAAGTCAGCCTAGGCAGTGGTTCTAGAAGGTGACAGAGCTTTGCACGCCCCTGCCATTCTGCCAGGCCTCCTGAGGTGTGCTGTTAGATGGAGCTTGAAGGGGTGAGGGCTGGGTCTGAAGCATCCCAAAGGCAGCAGGATCCTGAAAGATCTTGACACCTCCAGTCCCTTCTTTCTTCTCGAGGTGGCCTTGTTGGGGTCACCTGCGGGAGGGAAGGAGTGTTCAGAATAACCTTTGCTACCAACTTCTGTGCTGCCCCTGCTACGTGAACTCCCATTTCATGGGCTGCCCCTTTCGTACTTTCTACCGATGTTTTATTCACTGTCACTTCCACAAGGGAATTTAAGCTGAGAAACACTCCTCACTTGCATAGATCTTTAATTTTTGATTTAATAAAAGAGAGACAGTCTGCCTGTTGATATATCTGTCTGTCTCACGCGATGAGAAATGCTAGCTGCCGCTCTGATGGCAAGACGCTCTGATTGATGCCGGTGGCATCTGGTGTCCGCGGGCCTCGCTCAGTTCGGGCTGAGCAGCTGGTCTGATAAACAAATCTGTACCCAATTCCATTTTCCTGAATGGAAAAACACAGCTTCTTTGTAATGCATTGTAGTCACATCTGATCTCTGAGCGGCTGCGTGTCTCTCTTTCGGCAGAGAGCTACTCCTCTCATGCACAGCTGCTTATTTAATACTCTTCAGACCGGACTGTGCAATGGCTTCAACTAGTAGAGGGACAGTCCATGGCAGAGAGCGTAGTGTCTCCGGAGCCCACTTCTGTCTTTTCACCCGCCCTATTTGTCCCCCTGATTAGGCATGATGCTGCTCCTTGTGCTCCCAGCACTGTGTAGTACCAATGGGCTTTCTCCCCTGCCCAGCACGCGGCGCAGGTCACTGTGCTTGCCCGCATCAGGATGCCTGTGGCTGGCAAAACCTTACTGCATCCCAGTGCAGCTGACATCCAGCTCTCCCTGTGCATTTTGTACGAGACCAGCAGTCCCAGAGGAGGGACAGGGAAAGGAGCTCCAGGAGCTGGAGGGACCCAGGGCAGAGGCAGTGACAGATTTTGAGCATCATCTCTGGCAGCTGTGTGTCTGCAGCCTGTGGCGAGGAGCTAGACAGAGCAAGCAGCCTGCAAGATGCAGAGCCCGTGGCGAAAGTAACTTATTTGTAACTTCTCTGGGTGTATTTTGTTTTCACCCTCTCAAGCGAGTGTGATCCACATACTGTATGTACAGAGACCAGTGAAAGGAGACTGATCCTGTCTTTGCTAATAGCTCTCTGCAGCTTCAGATCTCAAAAGAGACAAAGCTGTACAGTTTTCTGGCTTGCTTCCATGACGTGACCCAGAACTGTCCCCTGTCCTTGAATAATGCCCTGAATTCTTGATTTTTCTCTCCTTTTAACTCCTTCCCAACAATACTTCTTCCCACGGCGGTCCTGCCACCGACTTTCAGAACAAATGAGCTTATTCTATTAGTCGTTCTGGCTCTACATCCGAAGCGCGAGCTCCATCGCACCGGGGGACCCACCATCTCCCAAGCGCAAGGGCCAGCGCGGCGCTCCGCCGTGACGGCACAATTTCACAGTAATGCAATAACTGAGAACAGGCTGCGGCTGCCGGCACAAGCCTCCCGTGTGTAAGCACAGCACACTGTACTAGTGGATCAGCCTAGACAAGTCTTATCTGCAGATTAAATGATTCCGTGGTTCTTACCTAATAAGTGAGGAATTTGTGCCTGGACCCTAACACTGCATCTAAATTTATGCACTGCAGTCGGGAAAGGAGTTTAGATATGTTCAGTTCTCTTCCTGAAAAGGGAGGAAGTGGTTTTCTCTGCAAGTAAATCCAGGTAGTCCCCTGGGACTGACTGCAACAGTAGTTTAGTCTCCTCTTTTAAATCAAAGCTGGGAAAAAAAGAAAAGAAAAAAAACAAAAAAAGCTTTTTTCCTGCCCAATCTTTTTGCGTCTTTGCCTCGTCCTCCTGCCTGCTCTGAGCAGCCACCTGTTCATGGTTGTGGCTTCTTAGACGAAGAGCTCTCAGGAGCCCTGTGACTGTCCATCCTTTGCAGATGTTGCTGAGAGGCCTCATCATAGCAGCCTTTTCATCTAACTCAGCAATGCGGAAAATTACAAGACAGTCAAACTTTGGAGCAGAACTGAGAAAAGGTGTTTTTCGAGGGGGGTGGGAGGGTGGTTTGTTCATTTTTTTTTACTGGGGGATGGAAGGGGATCATGGGGACAGTTAACAGGATTCTTGTGAGGATGGAGATGGGGACAAATGCATGCCTGAAAGAAGTCTCCCCTCTGAAATTTAGCCTCCTTAGAGCTGTGAGATAACACAACACGGGTCCAATATAGTAGTGCCGGTTGGGACTAAGGAGGGTAATAGCCAGTACCCCTGTGTTCCCCAACCCAGGCTGTGAGAAGCTGCCGGAGCCGCCTTCAGGCAGCACATAGCAAAGAAAGTTTCCCAAGTCAAAAAACCAATCATCTGACTTGTGTGTGGAGTCACTGGAGCAGGACGACCTGAGTCATGCCTGTGGCAGCGCAGCTGGAGGGATGGTTGCATAGCAGAGTGATGGCTTAACTCACAGGGCAGAGATTTCCACCCCTGCAAGGGGGGCACCCGCTCAGAAAAAGCCGGAGAGCACACAGGGAGGACAGGCACGCGATGTGTAGTCATGCATGGCTCCACTCTGCTTTGGCTGGGGGGCTCCTGGCGGGCTGGAAGCAGGCAACTGGGCTCCTTGGCCCAATCAGCAAGATGTTCTTCCTGAGGAACACTCGGTGACCAATGCACACTTCCTTTTGGTATCCCCAAATTCACCTTTTTTCCCTCCTTGGAAAAGCCTTGCAGCCCTGTGTTCTCTTTTCTCATCTTTGAAAAGTTCATCCTGCGTTTCAGTTCCTTTAAGTTCCTGAAGTCCTTTAGGTCCTGTTGGGGTGGGAAGGAAAATTGGCTGTAGGAGGGGGAAAATAACAATGGGACCATAGTGCTCAGCTGATCTAGAGAGTCAAAATTTAAAAGGTGCTGAAGAATTTGATGTTTGGGTTGAAATGTCAACCAGTTTCGATCCCTCCCATTCCCAGTTTAACCTAAAACACAGCTGCTGCTTTGGATGGCAGGAATTGTTTTTCCCCTCCTTTGCGCTCTCTGTGTTGATAACTTTTACTGCTTTTACTGTCGTTTCCTAACAGTATTTGTCATCTATGACTGAAAAGCAGTACAAGCTAGGTAGTATGACCGTGATCATTATTAGGAGCCCCAGCTGAGCATGGACCACCACTCACACTCAGTGTATGATGCCTCTTGTTAAGGAATTGTTTTCCCTCTGTCGACAGCAAGCGTGGCCCAGTGGCACTCAGCAGATCCTGCTCCCTCCCGCCTGGCAGCAGCTGACCGGGGTGGCCACCCACACTTCTGTCCAGCACGCGACCGTCATCCCGGAGTCCATGGCAGGCACCCAGCCGTTGGCAGACTGGAGGTAAACTGGAAGCACTTGGAGGCTCCCTGAAGTACCCACCGGTGCTGGAGGAGGCGTGAGAAGAGCTGGGATGGGAGGGACGGGGTCCAATGAGTCTGTGGAGCAGGGGGAGAAGGACAGGAGGCTGCAGCTTGCAACCTCCCTGTCTGAGAGGTACGGGCGGTTCTCCATTCCCTGTCCCTGAAGCGGAGCGCCGTGCCCACGCTGCTCCCTTCAGTCACTTCCCTGGGGGGAATGCTCCTTCCTGAGGGGACTGGGAGCCCAACGGGCCCTGGAGGAGGGTGCCTTAGTGAAAGCGGTGGGAGCCTGTGAAAGAGCCTGCTGAAGAGCCGCCGGTTGCATTTTAAACGTGTGCCTGTCTCCCCCCTTTGCAGAAACACCCACGCTCATGGCAGCCATTATAACCCCATCATGCAGCAGCCCGCGCTGTTAG